ATACATACACACGCACACACACACACACATATAGACGCACACACATGTGCAAGCACACACACACATACACACACACGAACACACACAAACGTACACAGATAAACGCATATCAACACACACAAATAGAACCATATATACATACATATATACACACATACACATACACACACACACACAAATAGAGCCATAAATACATACATATATATGTACACACACACACGCACACACACACACACACACACACACACACACACACACACACACACACACACACACACACACACACACACTCACACACGCGCACACACACACACACACACACACACACAAATGTGTGTGTGTGTGCAGATAGATGGATAGATAGGTAGATAGATAAAGATGGAGAGAAAGAATGGAGAGGAAGAGAGGGAGAGATAGAAAGAGAGAAAGAGAAAGAGAGAGAGAAAAAGATAGATAAATATTTGAATAGATAGGTAGACAGCAGACTAAAAAAATATATATATACATATATATATATATATGTATATATATATATATATATATATATATATATATATATATATATATATATATATATATATATATGTATATATATATATATATATATATATATATATATATATATATATATATATATATATATATATATATATATATAAAGAGAGAGAGAGAGAGAGAGAGAGAGAGAGAGAGAGAGAGAGAGAGAGAGACAGAAAGACAGACAGAGACAGAGACAGAAAGAAATAAAGAAACACAAAGAAACAGCGACAGATACTTCGCCTCCCTCTTCCCTCCCATCCCCTCAACTCCCATTACTCCCCCCCCCCTCCAGCCCCATCCCCATCCCTTAACCCCCCCCCCCCCCCTTCGCTCCCTCTCCAAAGGGCGCCTAATCGCTGCCGTAAGACCGTGCTTCCTGACCCGTGACAACGTTTCGAAGCGCGTTGGTTTATTCTTGCATTAACGGGGGAGGTCAGTATGGGTCGTGGCTGTCTGTCGGATATAGGCGTGGGGGGAGAGGGGGTAATGGGGGAGAAGGGGTAATGGGGAAATTGGGGTAATGGGGGAGAGGGGAGTAATGGGGGAGAGGGGTTAATGGGGGAGAGGGGGTAATGGGGGAGAGGGGGTAATGGGGGAGAGGGGAGTAATGGGGGAGAGGGGGTAATGGGGGAGAGAGGGTAATGGGGGAGAGGGGGTAATGGGGGAGAGGGGAAGAGGAGGTAATGGGGAAGAGGGGTTAATGAGGGAGGGGGGATAATGGGGGAGAGGGAGGCGAGGGTTAGCTCGGCAGGAAAGAAAATGCTATCATCTTCTACGCGATATATCATATATTTACTACGTCTCTGTTTGTTTGTTTTTTCTGATATTTTCCAGTGTATTTTTTTCTTGAGTCGTGTGATGTCGTTATGCATGAGGCGATTAAGGAGTGTTTTTATTGTATGCCGTAACGTATTCAGATTAAAAATAGGAGACGAAGAAGAAGGGTGGCTGACCATGCGTGTCGTATAATGGGGAAAAGATGCTATTACTACTACAACAACAACAACTACTACTACTAGTAGTTCTACTGCTTCTACTACTACTTTTACTACTACAGCTACTTCTACCTGCTATTACTGCTATTATCTGTTATTACCTACTATTACTACTACTTCTACTACTACTTCTACTACTACCACAACTACTACTACTGCTACATACTATTACTACTACTACTACTGCTATTACTACTAATGCTACTACTACAGCTACTACTACTACTACTACTACTACTTCTACTACTACAACTACTACTATTACTTTTAATAAGGGTGATTATGGTTATGCTAATGATAAATGACAATGACTCTTATGATACATAATATCAAGAACAACAATAATATTAATAATAAAAATTCTAGTGGTGATACTACTTGTTAGTGCTACTACTACTCCTGCTAACACTACTACTGATATTTCTGCTGATGCTGCTAATGAAAATAATGATAATGATTGTAACTACAGTGATAATAGTAATAGTAATACATGTGAATTTTGAATAAGATGAACTTGCCGCCTGGTAAAATAACAACAACAACAAAAGGCAGTGATATGAAAAAAATGATAACAAAAATAACGATACTATTAGTACTGACACTGATAAGGTAATAAAAAAATACTGTACAAATATTACTAGTACTACAGTTGACGTTAATCTTAACGTCAACTGTAGTACTAAGAACTATTGATGATAATGTTGCGAATAAAACTGAATAGAAACATACACACACACGCACGCGCGTACACACACACACACATATAAACACACACAGACCACCACCACCACTAACAACAACAACAACAAAGCAGCAACAACAACACGTAAGGAAATCCAAGTCAAACACTCTATTTTAAGAGACCATTAGACACGGAAGAAACTACGGGGATGCATTACACAGCTCTCCAGTCTCTGTCTCTCTGTATCTTTATTCTTATTTTATTTTCATGCACTATTTTTCTTTCTCTTTCCATCTCTGTTTCTGTCTTTCTGTGTCTTTGTTTGTCTGCCTGCCTGTCTGTCTGCCTGTGCGTATGTGTATGTGTATGTGTGTGTGTGTGTGTGTGTGTGTGTGTGTGTGTGTGTGTGTGTGTGTGTGTGTGTGTGTGTGTGTGTGTGTGTGTGTGCGCGTGTGTGCGCGCGTGCATGCGTATGTGTATGTGTGTGTTTGTGTGTGCGTCTCTCCCTTTCTCTCTCTCTCTCTCTCTCTCTCTCTCTCTCTCTCTCCCTCCCTCCCTCCCTCCCTCCCTCCCTCCCTCCCTCCCTCTCTCTCTCTCTTTCTCTCTCTCTCTCTCTCTCTCTCTCTCTCTCTCTCTCTCTCTCTCTCTCTCTCTCTTTCTCAAAAGCAACAACAACAAGGTAGTATTTTGTGACCATTCAAGACAACAAATCAAACCTAATACAAATAAAGAAAGACAAAAGCAAAGCAAAACCCCCCAAAACAAACAAACGAAAAACGAAAATAAAATAAAAACAAAAACTCACTTTTACTACCCATCGCTTTACTGGTAACTGTCATGATTTTGCTCTTGCTCCAGATGGTGTAGACGATGATGGCATAGCAAGCGGCGATGATGATGGTGGGGAAGAAGAAGACGGTGATAGCGACCAACGTCATGTAAAGCTTCCACTGCCAAGCCTCTGGGAAATCGATCCAGCACTGGTTAACACCTGAGGGAGGAAAACACGGGGAGATTCAGTGAGATAGATAAATAGATAGATAGATAGATAGATAGATAGATAGACAGACAGATAGATAGATAGATAGAGAGAGAGAGAGGGAGAAGGGGAGAGAGAGAGGGAGAAGGGGAGAGAGAGAGAAAGAGAATGAGAGAGAGAGAGAAAGAGAATGAGAGAGAGAGAGAGAGACAGAGAGAGAGAGAGAGAGAGAGAGAGAGAGAGAGAGAGAGAGAGAGAGAGAGAGAGAGAGAGAGAGAGAGAGAGAAGAGAGAGAGAGAGAGAGAGAGAGAGAGAGAGAGAGAGAGAAAGGGAGAGAGAGAGAGAGAGAGATAGGGAGAGAGAGAGAGAGAGAGAGAGAGAGAGAGAGAGAGAGAGAGAGAGAGAGAGAGAGAGAGAGAGAGAGAGAGAGAGAGACAGAGAGAGAGAGAGGGAGGGGAGAAGTGGAGGGAGAGACTTAGATATATAGATGATCATAAATAGATAGATAGAAAGACAGGCACAGCTAGACACTAGAAAGAGAGAGAGGGGGAGAAGGGGAGAGAGAGAGAAAGAGAATGAGAGAGAGAGAGAGAGAGAGAGAGAGAGAGAGAGAGAGAGAGAGAGAGAGAGAGAGAGAGAGAGAGAGAGAGAGAGACAGAGAGAGAGAGAGAGAGAGAGAGAGAGAGAGAGAGAGAGAGAGAGAGAGAGAGAAAGAGAGAGAGAACAGGGATAGTAAGCAAAGGGGAATAATGAAAAAAAAACACAACACTAAGGAAGAGGGGGAGAAAGAACAAAAATAATATTCAGCCTTGCCGTGCCTTAAACAAAGCTCTTAAACCAATGAGTTTCCATCCGTTACCTCTAACAACTCAACTTACCCAGTATCCATCTCACCCCCCCCTCCCCTCCCCACCACAAACACAAATCTTACCCCCGTTCTAGCCCCCCACCCCCTTCTTATTCCCCTGCTCCTCCCTTCACTCCCTCTCCCTCTCTTCCTTCTTCTTCTCCTGCTCCTACCTTCATTCCCTCTCTCTCTCTTCCTTCTACTTCTCCTGCTTCTACCTTCACTCCCTCTCTCTCTCTTCCTTCTTCTCCAGCTCCTACCTTCATTCCCTCTCCCTCTCTTCCTTCTTCTTCTCTTGCTTCTACCTTCATTCCCTCTCCCTCGTCTTCCTTCTTCTTCTCCTGCTTCTACCTTCACCTCCCTCTCCCTCTCTTCCTACTTCCCCTGCTCCTACCTTCACTCCCTCTCCCTCTCTTCCTGCTTCTTCTCCTGCTCCTACCTTTATTCCCTCTCCCTTTCTTCCTTCTTCTTCTCTTGCTTCTACCTTCATTCCCTCTCTTTCCCTTCCTTCGTCTTCTCCTGCTCCTAAATTCACTCCCTCTCCCTGTCTTCCTTCTTCTTCTCCTGCTCCTACCTTCATTCCCTCTCCCTCTCTTCCTTCTTCTTCTCCTGCTCCTACCTTCATTCCCTCTCCCTCTCTTCCTTCTTCTTCTCCTGCTCTACCTTCACTCCCTCTCCCTCTCTTCCTTCTTCTTCTCCTGCTCCTACCTTCACTCCCTCTCCCTCTCTTCCCTTCTTCTTCTCCTGCTCCTACCTTCATTCCCCTCTCTTTCCTTCCTTCTTCTTCTCCTTGCCTCCTACCTCACTCCCTCTCCCCTCTCTTCCTGCTTCTTCTCCTGCTCCTACCTTCATTCCCCTCTCCCTCTCTTCCTTCTTCTTTCTCCTGCTCCTACCTTCACTCCCTCTCCCTCTCTCCTTCTTCTTCTCCTGCTCCTACCTTCACTCCCTCTCCCTCTCTTTCCTTCTTCTTCTCCTGCCTCCTACCTTCATTCCCTCTCTTTCCCTTCCTTCTTCTTCTCCTGCTCCTACCTTCATTCCCTCTCCCTCTCTTCCTTCTTTTCCTGCTCCTACCTTCATTCCCTCCCTCTCTCTTCCTTCTTCTCCTGCTCCTACCTTCATTCCCTCCCTCTCTCTTCCTTCTTCTCCTGCTCCTACCTTCCTTCCCTCTCTCTCTCTTCCTTCGTCCTCTGTCGTCTCCTGCCTCTCGCCTTCGCTGAGGGTATCCAGATCCTTCTCCTAATTAGCATATCATAATTAAGTTATTCAATGCAAAATAGGCATAATCAAGTTCAATGCTAGCAACGAAGGAAACATGACAGACCCTACCTGCTCTTGACTCCTACTTACTTTGTCTGGCTGTCTACCTCACGTGGCATCTACTTTCTTTGGGGATTTGGGCTAGCTTCCTGTCTTCTATCTGTTTGTCTGTCTGTGTCTAGCCCCCCTCTCTGTCTTTTTCTTTATTTTTTTTCTTTCTCTTTCTCTCGCCCCTCTTCTCTCTCTCTCCTCTCTTCAGCTATTTACATCCCACTGCACATCCCTCCTTATTCTAATAGGTTCATCTGTCCACATTCTATCAATCGCACAGATTCCAAAAACTGTCAGCGTTTAACCAAGAAGCTGACAACAATATTCTCCCCCAACGTTCCTTATATATATATAACAGCTGTCAACTACAACAAACAAAAATATCCCGAGACTCACCGCTTCTGACACTGACAGTCCTCAACAACAACATTCCCAAAACTTACAAACGCTGACAACAAAAGGCTGACAACAGAAAGCTGACAACAAAAGCCACTCACCGTCCACATAAGCCTCCATGAAGAACACCAGACTCGGGGAAGCGAAGACAGCTGAGAGGAGCCACGCGACAACCACCAGCCTTCGAGCGCGACGCCCTGGATGGGGGAGAAAATGGATAAATAAAAGGAAAAAAGGGATAAGGAGAACGAGAGAAGAGAGAGATAGAGACAGATGGGAGAGGTGAGGGAACGAGCGAGCGAGCAGAGAGAGATGAGAAGTGAGAGAGAGTGGGATAGAGAGATAGAAAACAAGATAAGCAGATGAGATAGCCAAATGACAGTCAAAGAAGAATAAGTCAACTATAAGAACGCAACAGAAACACAAGAAGAAAAAGAAGGAATGACAGAGAGAGAGAGAGAGAGAGAGAGAGAGAGAGAGTTCAAAGACTGAATCGTGTAAAAAAAGGTCCTGATTATCTTGCATCATGAATTTGTAATGCAGAAAAAGATAGATTTATCCTAACTGACCATACTAAAAATTCAGTATTTTTACATAAATAACAAGGGAAAAACTAACATCTAGAATGTGAGAGAAGTACATTAATACAAAATACTTAAAGGTATATATATATATATATATATATATATATATATATATATATATATATAATAATAAAGTCTATATATATTATAAGACTTACATATATATATATAATAATAATATATATATAATATAATATAGATATATATTATATATATATATATGATTACATATATAGAGAGAGGAGACGAGAGAGAGAGAGAGAGAGAGAGGAGATTGATGAGAGGAGACGAGAGAGGAAAGACCTGAGAGGAGAGAGAGAAGACAGAGAACAGACGGAGAGAGGAGATGAGAGAGACGAGGAGAGAGAAAGAGAGAGAGAGAGAGGCAGACAGACATACATACAAACAAAGACAGACAACCCTAGAGATCCCCTCCCCCCCCCCCGCGAGAAAAGCAGAAGGAATCGTAAAGCTCATGACTATAAACCGGTCCGTTACACACACGCACAAGGATCATTACTTACAGCTTCCTGAGAAATTCATTGGGTGGGTAATAGCGTCATATCGGTCGATACTAAGAGCCACTAACACGTATGTCGAGGAGTATGTCACTAACACCTAAAATATAAGGGAAAAAACATGTGATATGTATAAAGATATTCACCCGTTAAAGATGCAGATAGATATATGTATCACTGATAAATTTACATATTACAAATGATACATTTCCTTTTTGTTTCGAATACAGTGAAGAAAATGTAAATACATAATGATCTTACCTGTGCAAATCTACTGCTTTACAGCCGACGTTGCCCGCGTGCCAAGATACTGTGCTCTTCCACACTATGTCTGTCAGTACACTAATAAGGCCTACCGATAAATCTGCGAAAGAAAGGAGATGTCATTATAAGTAACACTTTGCTTGGGGTAAAATTTTAACTAATGGTAAAGAATATGGTACTTGTGTCTATGTCTATGTTTTTACCATAATTTTCCACTACGCTCTCTTTTTTACCATTATGTCGTCTCTCTCTCTCTCTCCTCTCTCTCTCTTCCTTCTCTCTTCCTCTTCTCCAGCTCCTACCTTCATTCCCTCTCCCTCTCTTCCTTCTTCTTCTCTTGCTTCTACCCTTCATTCCCTCTCCCTCTCTTCCTTCTTCTTCTCCTGCTTCTACCTTCACTCCATCTCCCTCTCTTCCTACTTCCCCTGCTCCTACCTTCACTCCCTCTCCCTCTCTTCCTGCTTCTTCTCCTGCTCCTACCTTTATTCCCTCTCCCTTTCTTCCTTCTTCTTCTCTTGCTTCTACCTTCATTCCCTCTCTTTCCCTTCCTTCGTCTTCTCCTGCTCCTAAATTCACTCCCTCTCCTGTCTTCCTTCTTCTTCTCCTGCTCCTACCTTCATTCCCTCTCCCTCTCTTCCTTCTTCTTCTCCTGCTCCTAACCTTCATTCCCTCTCCCTCTCTTCCTTCTTCTTCTCCTGCTCCTACCTTCACTCCCTCTCCCTCTCTTCCTTCTTCTTCTCCTGCTCCTACCTTCACTCCCTCTCTTTCCCTTTCTTCTTCTTCTCCTGCTCCTACCTTTATTCCCTCTCTTTCCCTTCCTTCTTCTTCTCCTGATCCTACCTTCACTCCCCTCTCCCTCTCTTCCTGCTTCTTCTCCTGCTCCTACCTTCATTCCCTCTCCCTCTCTTCCTTCTTCTTCTCCTGCTCCTACCTTCACTCCCTCTCCCTCTCTTCCTTCTTCTTCTCCTGCTCCTACCTTCACTCCCTCTCCCTCTCTTCCTTCTTCTTCTCCTGCTCCTACCTTCATTCCCTCTCTTTCCCTTCCTTCTTCTTCTCCTGCTCCTACCTTCATTCCCTCTCCCTCTCTTCCTTCTTTCCTGCTCCTACCTTCATTCCCTCCCTCTCTCTTCCTTCTTCTCCTGCTCCTACCTTCATTCCCTCCCTCTCTCTTCCTTCTTCTCCTGCTCCTACCTTCATTCCCTCTCTCTCTCTTCCTTCGTCCTCCTGTCGTCTCCTGCCTCTCGCCTTCGCTGAGGGTATCCAGATCCTTCTCCTAATTAGCATATCATAATTAAGTTATTCAATGCAAAATAGGCATAATCAAGTTCAATGCTAGCAACGAAGGAACATGACAGACCCTACCTGCTCTTGACTCCTACTTACTTTGTCTGGCTGTCTACCTCACGTGGCATCTATTTCTTTGGGGATTTGGGCTAGCTTCCTGTCTTCTATCTGTTTGTCTGTCTGTGTCTAGCCCCCCCTCTCTGTCTTTTTCTTTATTTTTTTTTCTTTCTCTTTCTCTCGCCCCTCTTCTCTCTCTCTCCTCTCTTCAGCTATTTACATCCCACTGCACATCCCTCCTTATTCTAATAGGTTCATCTGTCCACATTCTATCAATCGCACAGATTCCAAAAACTGTCAGCGTTTAACCAAGAAGCTGACAACAATATTCTCCCCAACGTTCCTTATATATATATAACAGCTGTCAACTACAACAAACAAAAATATCCCGAGGACTCACCGCTTCTGACACTGACAGTCCTCAACAACAACATTCCCAAAACTTACAAACGCTGACAACAAAAGGCTGACAACAGAAAGCTGACAACAAAAGCCACTCACCGTCCACATAAGCCTCCATGAAGAACACCAGACTCGGGGAAGCGAAGACAGCTGAGAGGAGCCACGCGACAACCACCAGCCTTCGAGCGCGACGCCCTGGATGGGGGAGAAAATGGATAAATAAAAGGAAAAAAGGGATAAGGAGAACGAGAGAAGAGAGAGATAGAGACAGATGGGAGAGGTGAGGGAACGAGCGAGCGAGCAGAGAGAGATGAGAAGTGAGAGAGAGTGGGATAGAGAGATAGAAAACAAGATAAGCAGATGGAGATAGCCAAATGACAGTCAAAGAAGAATAAGTCAACTATAAGAACGCAACAGAAACACAAGAAGAAAAAGAAGGAATGACAGAGAGAGAGAGAGAGAGAGAGAGAGAGAGAGAGTTCAAAGACTGAATCGTGTAAAAAAAGGTCTGATTATCTTGCATCATGAATTTGTAATGCAGAAAAAGATAGATTTATCCTAACTGACCATACTAAAAATTCAGTATTTTTTACATAAATAACAAGGGAAAAACTAACATCTAGAATGTGAGAGAAGTACATTAAATACAAAATACTTAAAGGTATATATATATATATATATATATATATATATATATATATATATATATATATATATATATATATATATAACATACATACATATATATATATATATATATATATATATATATATATATATATATATATATATATATATATATATATATATATATAGAGAGAGAGAGAGAGAGAGAGAGAGAGAGAGAGAGAGAGAGAGAGAGAGAGAGAGAGAGAGAGAGAGAGAGAGAGAGAGAGAGAGAGAGAGAGAGAGAGAGAAAGAGAGAGAGAGAGAGGCAGACAGACATACATACAAACAAAGACAGACAAATAGAGAGAGAAAAGCATAAGGAATCGTAAAGCCTCATGACTATAAACCGGTCCGTTACACACACGCACAAGGATCATTACTTACAGCTTCCTGAGAAATTCATTGGGTGGGTAATAGCGTCATATCGGTCGATACTAAGAGCCACTAACACGTATGTCGAGGAGTATGTCACTAA